ATTTAGTGGTGTTTTATGATCATAATAGAACTTCATTTTCAAAAAACACAGTGAAAGAATTTTTTAAAGCCAAGGAAAATGCCCATCAACCCGAGAGATCAGAAAGCTTGGCAAGGACCACGGCGTAACACACACCCTAGGGCTCCCATCCCAACTCACTTCCGACAGGTGAGAAAGCCACAAACATCCCTCCTCCTCCCTGGGCTGCCCTGGCCTTGGTCTGCTGGGGATTAGCTGGGTGGATCTTGCGGCTGGTTCCATAACCTGCCTTTTCCGCTTCAAGTTGAATGGAGGATGGTGAGCGATTCTATCTGCATGATGGCTTTTCCTACCATGCCCTGCCATCCTCCTGAATGGATGGCAGAATCCCTTTGTACTCTTTGATTTCTGTTTAAGAGAAAATCTCCCGCCCACTGGTTCACGTGAGCTCAAAATTCAATCCGGATCTCCCACATTGGTGGGGTATGTGGCCCGTCACCTGCTGCCTCCCACAGTGTGCACTGAACAGGAAGGAAGCTGAAAGAGTGGAGCCAAGACTTAGATCCAGGCAGACACCCCAAATGGTGGCTGAACCACTGGCCAAACTCCTGCTCTTTAAATCATCCTTTTTGCTCTTCTCCATGGAGAGATGGCACGGGAAGGACCAGCATTCCAGCAATCATTAACAAATCCCAGCGGCTCCTTGACCCCTCCCTACCCCCACCATACCCCAACCAGGACCCCTGGCCTTTCCTGCTGATACGTTCCTGGTGATGCCCCTTCAGCAATTCCCTTCCCTGAGCCTGCAGTCCACCCATACGCATCCCTTATGGACTTCAATGTCATCCACTCACAAGGCCACACATCTCTGGAGCCTCCCCGTTCCCACAAAGGTCGCTTGGTGACCCCCTGTGCAGCCCAGCAGCTTTCTTCATTGGCAAGGAAAAAGATCAGTGCCTGGGTGACACATCCATAAGGTTAGCTTGCACCCATGGCAGCTAGAAATGGTCTAGTCTCCCAATTTTGTCTTGGCGTTTCCTGTGCTAGTGGGGAAACGAGTGTGTTCAACTTCTCCAAAGGCAAAGATGGGCCCAGCAACAGCAAGAGAATGAGCAAGGGAGATTTCAAAGCACGGGTATAAAAGCCGGGATTACTTTTTCTAATCATTTTCTCTTTTGAGGTCTAATTGCACACCGTGAAATGAGCAGATCTGAAGTGTGCGATTCAGTGACTCTGACAAATGCATGCACCTGTGTAAGCAACCCCCCATCACCCCGGAGAGTCACTCTCCTGCTCCTTTGCAGTCATCCCTACCCTCTCCCCCCCACAGGCAACCCAAGTTGATTTCTAGCCCTAGACTAGGAGCCTGCATTTTGCCTTTGGTGGACTTGAGACCTGGGACTCTGGTCTTAGGTCATCTGGGCAAATCAGCAAGCAAAATCCCATCAGCGAGCCCGGATATCTTTCCTCACTCAGCCCCTAGTGCTTGGCTCTGCTGCCCCCAATAAGCCCACCTGACCTCCAGGGCTCATAACTGAGCCCCAGCCCTGAATTAGCCTCAGTCTCCAGGTAAGTGAGTGACAGCAGCTCTGGGTAGCCCGAATCGTGCATGCCTTGTTGATAAGTACGGGAAGTGCGACGCAGAGCGCCCCGGCATGTGGAGCAGCATGCTGATTTTTCCCTCAAAGCACTGCACAGAAGGGAGCAGTTCCTTTTGTGTCTTTTCTTTCCCAAAACCCGGGAGTGCGTGCCTGCCTTCTAGGCTTCAGCCATCGTCAAGATGGCCTCCGAGCTGTGCTGACTTCAGAGCAAAGGGCAGGAACAGCATGTGTGGGTGTGTGTGAAGCGAGCCCTGGGCCCACAGCCCATGAGCCTGAAGGGTCGCAGGGTTTGTTGGATGACACTATGACAACGCTCTCGGAGGTGGAAAGTGCTCTGTCTTTTTGCAAAGCCCCGGGGTCTCTGGAATGTACCATCTGCAATTCAGCAGCTCAGGTCCTAGTGGTGGTGTTTTTTGTTTGCTTTTTAACCTGGACAAAGGCTGCCGGCTCTGTTTTCAGCCACCTTCAGCTGCTCTGTTCAGCCCGCACTGAAGGCCTCGGGCTGCTCTGGCTGCAGGTTCCTGGCACCACAATGCGTTCCCAACTGACCAGCTCCGAGTGACACCACACATTCACATTCAGAACAAAGCTGCCTCTTGTGTAACTGTGCAGGTGCCAGCCACGAGTGGAATTGCCACTCTCCTTCTGTGTGCTTCCCTTAGAATCATCCCACCTGGAGGCAGGGATGGGCATGAAGAAGAGGGAGTACGGGAGGGAGCCCTCCTTTATCTGAACAGCGCAAGGATACATGCCGAACTACCCACTACCACTGCCACCAAGCCCTCTGGGGCATCCACTTGGGCAGCTCAGCTCTGAACACGGGGGGGTCTGCTGTCAGCTTTCACTTTGATCCCAGAAAACTCCAGGAGCCTCTGCTCTTCAGAGGGCAGGCAGCTGCTGAGCAAGTACGATTTCTGCAGCATTTTCCCCTCAAACCCCAAGCCAGGCATCCAGGCATGCCTGCCCCTTGCATGAGGGACCTGTCCCAGATCAACCAGGGGTCGTGGTGGAGTGGTGCAGCTGATCTGAACCCCGCTCACCTTCATCCTTAGCAGCCCAGCTGGCATTGGGTAAATGTGCCAAGCACAGCAATGGGTAGACAGGAAGACACAGCACACCTGGCTCAGGTGGGTCTGAACATGATCCCAGGCTGATGCACTGCCCCGTGCAACCCTCAAGTCCCAGGAAATGGCAGCTGTGGCAGGGGGTGGGCAGCAGTGACAGGCTGGCCACCAGCCCTTGGAGTTAGCTGTGGGACTGAGTGCCTGGACTCAGGCAAAAGAGGCTAATTAGCACCTGCAAACCTGGTCCAGCCCATTCTATAGAACTGGGAAGGGTGCAGGTTGGAGTAGCTGCAGACACACAATTCTCCAGAAATAGAATCTTGCAACCTCCCTTCATCCACAACCACCCTCTTTAACCACACACTAATGAGAAGCCATAATGAAGGTCTGGGCAACTGGTAAACCTCGTATTCTTTGTCTCTGGACTCCTAGCACACACATTATCAACAAACTACTATTTGGAAGCCAAAGTGATTATTTTTTCTCTCTCACATCCTCTTGCTAAGCCAGTGCCCCAAGTGCCATCTATAGCAGCTCAGAACCCATGTATTTGGGTGCAAAATGCATCACTTGTGACCTTGATGGAGAAGGGAGGGAGAGGGGCTAGCATGCATTGCAAAGCAAAACTCCTCAGTGCCTCTCTTTGGAGTAGTGATGGAGAGGAGGGTTGTAAGAATTGCCCCACCTCCCCACACAGGCTTCCCACATTCAGCTCAGTGCCAACCAGGCCTAGACCCAGGTCAATCCACAAGGTAACAAATGCCTTGTGCCGTACAAGGAAGGACACTCTGGGTGTGTAACAGGCATGTGTGCCCAGAATTCAGGTCTGTAGGGGAGGCCTACTGCTCTAAGCAGAGGGTGAGCCATCCTGGCTTAGTGATTTACGAGGACCAATGCGGTGATCTTCTAGGATTAAAAAACTCTTAGCCTCATAGCAACTAACCTGCTGAAGAATGAGTTTAATGCATTTGAAGACTCAGATGAGGATACTGATGCTCATGGGCAGAGGTGTATGTGTGCGCACGTGCACAGAGAATAAAATAATAAGTGCCATCTCAGTGGTAACTGAAAAATGCAAAAAAGGGGAGAGACAGAACAAGGAGAGACTTTCTGGGTGTTTCTGGACGGGTTCCCATCTGCCATCACGTTGTTTCAAGTCAGCTTGGCCCCCAACATATTGTCCTGCAGCCAGCAAACCCACAGCCCGTGGAGTTGGCCTATCAGAGGCACCTGCCATCCATCAAGTCATCCATCAGCCTGCTTATCGAATAGCCTACCGAGCTTCACTGACCTGATCAATTCTGTTTAATTATGCCCAGCTTTCTCGCAGCCAGACCCGGTCAACACAATGAACCCTCACAGGTCCCTTGGAAATCAACATCAAGAAGTTCTGGTCCCTGAAATAGGCCCCCAATTCAGGCCAGCGAAGCTGATGGGCCCTCGTGGGCTGCCCTGTCCAGGTGACACTGGTATCACCAACCTGCTGTCAATAGCAGGATGGACATTCTGCCCCACCACCTGCCTGGGTCTAGCCAGACTCCTGAGCCCAGGACAATACTGTGGAGCTCTAAAGGGGATACACATTCTGCCTCCTCTACATCGCCCAGCTTGATGCCCCAGACCTCCCTCCTAGGCTCAGGGATAACAGCATTCTCACAGACCTTTCTTGCCATGTCGTCCAGACTTTGTGCTTGTTTTTGAGAACAAACTGCCAAATGGGTTGTCAGAGGGTTGAAGACTTCCTGGTGTGGCATCAGGAGACCCAAGCCTCCTGCTGTGACAGATGAGCAATCAAGAATACAGGGGCCAGCAGGTGCATACCACCCTGACACCTGCAGGGGCACTGAGCCCCAACCAAATACCCTGGTCGCTTTCCTAGTCCTAGACCCTACAGACAAGAGGCCCCTGAGGCTGCCTTCTGACCTAGGGAGGTCACTTGCATTCTCTAGATGAGTCATTCCATTCATTTCTGACCACCCAGATCCTTAGCTGAATCAACCCACCCTTCCTGATCCCATTTCTCTTTAGTCCAGCTTTTCCTTCTCCATGGAAATGAAGGCAAGTTCAGGGACAGCCCATAGGCATTAAGAGATATTTCACCTGAGTCTTTAGATGCCTGGCTTGGGGTAAGTAAACAAGGTATAGCACACACCCTCATTCCTGCCCTGGGATCCTGGTTTTCCCAGCTATCCATGGGGAACACTACCATTCGTAGAGACCCAAGATTCAAGTGCTCACAGTTGGGTTGGTTCATGGATCGTCCTCAGTGGCTACCACAATTAACTCGCCTGTCTGGCTCTCTGTCTCTGTCCCTGTGTGTGCCTGTGTGTGCCTCCCTGTCACTGTCTGTCTGCAGGGAAAGTCGCTAGCGGGCAAGCGCCTCACCGGCTTGATGCAGTCCTCCTGAGCGTCCCCAGCGCTGCGCCCGGGCCCATGGAGCCCTCCACGGGCAGCCGGCGGCGCTCCACGTCCACGGACAGAGTCTCCTTGCGGGGAGATTTGGTCACTGTGAAGGAGAAAGAGTGAGGGCGGTGGAAGGCAAGGATGGGGAGAGCTGGTGGGTGAATAGGAAGACCAGAGAGGATGTGCACAGAGCCTGGGAGGGCAACACAGAGACGGCCATTGACATCGCCCTCTTCCTTGTACAGTCGTGCGCCAACATCTGTTCTCCACGACACCCTTGTGTCCACCTGATCCAGGGGAGGATACCTCGGGGAGACTCCCATGGCCACGGTCATCTGTGTTGTATTCTGACCATCCTCGCCCTTCTTGCAGTCTGGGGGGACCTCACCTTCCAGCAAACTCAAGAGGACACTGAGAAACCCCCAGGTAGATCCAGTATTATGTACATCAGCTCCCTGCTTCACAAGGGTGTACCCATGGCACGACCCCTAACGACGACCACTGTGTCCAGAGCATCACCGCCTCCTCCGCGGCTCCTCGGCCACCTGAGTCCAACAGGGCGGTGCCAGGCACCGCCAGCCTGGTAGTCAGCATCCTCACACATCTGACAGGAAACCAACACCAGGGACTGCTTCACTCCAAGTTCTTGGCCACCCTGTCGCACCCTTGGTGACCACCTGTAGGAGAGGTGTCCAGTAGCCTGGTGGCTGCCCTGGAGTCCTCACAAATGTCTCAAGGCCCTGATGATCAAGATCCTGGCAGGAGCCCTGGTGCCAACAAAAGAGCTTGCTGCCTAGCAGTCTGGAAAGGTCTTTGTCTTTTAAGAAGTGACTGTCTCATCCTTTATTCTGTTTTTGCCCACCTTGCACCTTGGTTTGTTCCTTCGTGTTCTACCATAATAAACATGGCCTCAAACTCAGGGGCCGTGTTGGGATTCTGCCCTCCAGCCAACCCAGACAGGAGCCAAGAAGAGTCCCCAGTCCCAGGAAGTGGCTAGATTTCAGGGCTGGAAGCCTCTGCCCATGTGGCTTCATCCATTCAACCACAGCCAGCTTCTTCCTGGGTCAGATCCCAGCTGTGACTCAAGCTGCTGCAGGGTATAGTACAGAGGAACCAGGCCAGGGCCACGTGTCCCTTCCCAGGAGGCTCAAAGCACCTGCAAAACGAAGTTGGTTGTCTAGCAGCACGCAAAGCCTGCAAAAGATCCCCCTGTATTCTCTTGATGTGTATGTCAAATGATTATTTACCAACATGGCTGTAAGGTCATGTATGGAAGCAACTGTTCAGGTGCCTGCCGCTCGTAGGTGCTTAGCAAATGGTAGCAAATACTATCGTCATGTTTTGATTGTGACACCTGTGAGTCCTTGCAGAAAGCTGTGTTTGGACCCAGACACTCCGTCCCCAAGTCACTGTCATGAGAACTCTCCCTTGGATTTATATGAAGCAGTCCCTGCTGCTGCCTCACTCACATAGCCAAGTCCACCGGCAGGCAACCAAGGTTCCTGTGCTTGTCAGAAGCCCCCAACCCTCTGGGCACTCCCCTATCACACATCTTGCCCACGTCAGAGTCCTGTGCATTCCTGCTCCACTCCCACCTTGCTCACAGTGGAGCCACCTGGGCTTTAGATGTCTCTCGGTTGTGTCTGGCATGCGACCCCCATGCCACAGCTTCCCCTACTATTAGTAGCTCCTCTCATTTCCAGGAACAGCGACATTTGAAAAGGATTTAAATCAGTTTGGCTTTGGTAAAAATATGTTGAAATCCATGCCTATGGGTAGAAGACGGCATATCATGAAAGAACATGGATTTCAGAATTTGGGGTACCCCAAATAAGCACCTTTTAGTTCCATTTTCCACAAATGTTCGGAAGGACCCTCAAAGGGTAGGACCTCAGGGGGTCTCCAGAAGTCATGTTTCAGACCCAGTTCAGCACAGAGCCCAACTCTTCACACTCTGTGACAATGGAAGAGCAGACATACACAAAGGAGGTTCCCCTAAAGTTAAGGGTCTTTTCACCCCTCCTCTCCTCATTCATTTGCTTCCTCTTCATCCACAACTCCCATCTTAGGACTAAAGGCAATCTAAGCTTATCTGAACCCAACATTATCCAAAAGGAGCTCTCTCCTAGGCTTTGCCATCACCGCGGTATGGGCTGTATGGACCCAGGGTGTTCCCAAGACACTGGGTACCTCTGGGCCCTCAGTATTTGGGGCACAGGGCCTCATTGTCTGCTGCTCCCCCATTCATAGCCTGGCTATAGACTCGGCAGCTCTGCTGTCCCAGCCAGGACTCCTCTTCCACTTCCCCCCCTTGTCCCTCCAGTGTTGCTCAGGAACAGCAGTGGTCTGAGACTTGGCCTTGCCTTGTTCTGGAGGTTCCCAGTGAGCCCTGAGACAGACCAGGCCTCTGAGGACATCCAGAGGGGATAGAGGCGGCTCATGGAGGTCAGAATGTTGAATTCTGGAGGTTGGATTCCATATCATAGCAATAAACCCCTCGAGCCCAGCCTCTATCAAAGTCAAGTTCAGTCCTACGACCCCCTCCCACCACCACATGTTCCATATTGGATCAAGCAAAAGGCCCCCAAGAAGGGGATGGACCAAGTTGCTCAACCCAAGCTCAGTTTACCTACTAATGCAAGTATATTGGAAAATCCACTCCTGGCCAGTTCCCCATTGGCCTGATTGACACAGCCAGATTAGACTTTTGAAGGGAATTCTGTGGCAAAGTTGACACCCCTCTTCTGTGCTACAACACCCCCACAAAACCACCTGACTGGCTGTGGCCTCTGGACCCTAGACTTTTCCCCATGGGGAGCATCTCATGAGCCTCAGAGCCAGAGCATCAGGCATCCTGAGCAAGTGACTGCCCATCCATTGGGGCAGACCCACAAGGCACCAAGGCATGGGGCCTTCAAACAAACAACCAAGAAAAAAACCCAGCCTTTCCTCCTGTGGGCAGAGGACAGCTTGTAGGTTGATGTGAATACATGGCCAATAGCCGCCAGATGCCCTGAGCAAGCAGCAGGCGCTCTCTGAGCTGAGCAGAAGCCTCCTACACTTCCAGAAGGTGATGTATCAGCTTTGTTCCCCTGGGCAGGTGTTGTGCTACCCCAGGAATGAAGCTGACCCGGCTACCAGTGCAGGCCACCAAACCCGCACTCTAATCTTACAGTTACTAAGAAGACAAGTGGTAGCCAGAGTCCCAGGAGGCAAGTCCAGGTTGCTTTCTGGATGAGCTGAGCCCAGGGGGCAGGCTGTGGGGCTCCTGTCCTGGCAGGATTCCTGGTATGTTCAAACTACCTCACCCTCAGGATGCTGAACCAGGAGCCTGCCAGCCACACAGCCCCCTCACTGGTGGTGAAAAGCCCATGTTTTTCATAAAATGCATCCCCCTGCCAGTTCTGTTCCAAATACGTGGTCTTTGAAAGGCAAAGGCTGCTGGTTTCTGGGCTTGCAGGGTAGAGGTTCCAGAAAGATCCAGGAGCTGGGGGTGGGGGCTTGGGGGGTGTAAATGAGGTGTCACCAGCCTCTAAAAGGAGCTGACTGGGTACACAGCAAGGACCATGGAAAAAAAGTTCAACTGTGGCCAAATCAATCACTAATAACTCACCACGGGACCCTCTGAAGATAAGCCGGCCTCTTGTAACCATGGCAACCGCAGACGCCAGCAACCCACTTCTTCATTCCTCCCCATGAGGCATCCCAGGGGCAGGTCCCGGGGCCATAAAGTAGCAAAGTAGCCAATGTAGCAATAAGGGGACCGGGCAATGGATGGGTGGGGTCTGCACGGCCTCAGCTGTCTCCCCTGCGCCCACCAGGGCTCAGAGCCAGCTCCTGTCAGCTGACCAGGGAGGGGCCCTGCCCACAGCTAGGGCTCCCGTCCCATACTCCGTGCCCAGTCACCGCATGATCACGGACACGTCAGAACGGCCTCCTCCTAGTGCATGTGGTTCTCATTAGTTTATTTTTCTGGAATTTGGGGATTGGACCCCAGAACCAAACATGCTGATAACAGTCGAAAATAAATGACTTTAACCCACTATATTCCAGCTAATTCTGTTATTCCTTGGTTTGTGGCAGGGCCGTGGGGGTGGGGGGCGGTGAGAGGAAGGGGAGACAGGGAGAGGGATTGTTTATGAGGCAGGATTTACCTCTAGGGAACAAAAGTACCCCCCTCCCCCCTGGCCTCTCCTCTGCTTTCTCTCTCTCTCTCTCACACACACACACACACACACGCACATGCACACAGGATGTGGTGCAGCTCAGAAAAGCTCTATCATCCTTCATCTTGGTGGGGGGGATGCTGAAGCCTCCATCAGGGTCTCTTTGGCTGGGTGCCCTCTACATGCCTTTGTCTGTGCTCAGGTGTAAAACAGCAGCAGCACGGCCACCCCTTTGCAAAAGGCCCAGAATCCAAGGCCACTGCCTACAGACTCTGCTCCTTACAGGGAGTCGTGGTTGCCCGAGCGACAATCTCATTTCCCACCAACCCCAAAGCTGCAGGATTGTGAAAGTCAGGCTGGCAAGAGGAAGAAGAGAACCAGCCACAAAAGACCCTCTGCTGGCATGCCAGAGCTGGTGCCCCACAGCAGGCTTCCACAGGGACGTCGCTGCTCCCGAGGCGGCATCTCTGGCATGGAACTAAGCCCTGGGTACATCTGGATGGGATCCAACTAGACCCTCAACTCCTGGGCCACCACAGTTTCTGCTCCCCAAGGTCAAGTTTACACCTGCCTCACATCCTGGCTCACACACTGAAGAGTGAGCTTTCCCCTGGGGTCGGCATTGTGGTATCTCCAGTTAAGGCCCCATTTGCAACACCAGAGTCCCCTGTGGGTGCCAATATAAGCCCCAGATGCTCCACTTCTAATCCAGCTCCCTGCTGATGATCTGAGAAAGGCAGCAGATGGCAGCCCAATTGCTTGGGCCCCTGCACCTGCTTGGGAGACCCAGCGGAAGCTCTTGGCTTCAGTCTTGCCTAAGCTTGACCATGGGAATGGGCCAGCAGATTGAAGATCTCTCTCCCGCTCTCTGAAACTACCTTTCACATAAATGAACAAATTTAAAAGAGCCAGCTTCCCTACCCTCGTGGACCAAGACCACCCCTTCCGGAGTTTCTCCTTACCTAGCTAATTGCCGGATCCTCTGAGCTGTTGCTGTGTCACACGTTATCCTAGAGATCCCTTGACAAGAGAGGTGGCAACTTGGGACTGGCCATCCTAACAGAGCTGTGCTCACCTGAGAATATCTGAGAG